AAAAATGTAACGTATTATCGATGTTTTAATAAAAGTTTTAAATTGGGTTATTTGTTAGTGAAATATTTGTCCAATTAAAAGTTCTCTCTCTCGCGGCGAGTCTTCGGGAAAATCTTTTTATACACACACACATATATATATTTCGCTCCATAAAATTTCGAAGTCATAACTACTTTTCTCAATAACGTAACTGGCTCCGTAATCTTACAATTCTCCTGAGGTGGAAACAATAAACCTAGAATTTAAAGAGCTGTACAAATCTCCGGGAGAACATTCAGCAGCTCAAACCGCATAGATATCCGGGAAAGAAAGAGAGAGCGAGACATGGATTAAGCCTTTAAAACGTTTTATTACGCGAACATAAATTCTTCCTCTCGGAACAGAGCCATTGTTGCAGGAAATGTGTGACGACGAAGGAAAGCCGAAAGCAGAAAAGCAGGAACGACAGAATCAATATTGGCTGCTCCTGATATTTGTTTGGGATGCGACTGGGAACCGGATTGTGCGCCGGGACTCGGCAACAGAATGAAAAGGACACAATCTCGATCGATTCGGGACAGAGATCCTTCCCATTTAATCGAAAACGTCGTTCTCGACCGTGAGATATCAACATTGAGAAGGTGAGTGGCAAATAAGAAGCACGAAGAAAAAAATGTCTTAATCATGTGCCTCGATCTTGAGCTCTGTGGCTTCAATATATATATATATCATCAAGCGCATGGTTAAAAGCACAGTTTAGTGAGCTTTATTCAATAAAAAAAAGTCCTATATTTATTTATACAAAAATCATAAATACGACAAAGTGTATTAGAAAAAATATTTACGCTCAGAGATGAAACACAAAACATATATGATGTGTAAAACAGGCAAAAAATAAATACAAAAAATTTTTTTTTATGTAGAAAAATTACATGATGTATATGAAAGTACTTTTAAAAACCGTTAAATAAATTTAAAAAATATCAGATATGAAAAAATTCTTTTTCACGTTGTCCGCTATTTCATCATAGCTTTCTGCAACTCGCTGCGAATAAACAAATCCGAAAAATGAGTGTGTGTGAACATCCCCGAAGGATGTTGCAAATATGCAAAACACCAGTGAATTAAAACTGTGCAAATTTCGCGCTTATCTGCGTTTAACGCAAACAAACAAAAAACACATATATTCCCCTCTGGTGTGTCGAAAATAAAGTGGCTTTTACGTCACAACATTTCGGTAATACACTCCCCGATGTCCTTGCGCGTCGGGGAGCGCGCGAAAATCGCAACAAAGAAACCGTCAAAGTGGGTTAGTGAAACGAGCGAGGAAACAAGAAACCGCCGCCGCGGTGAGAATGGGCGGAATTGATAGCGATCTTAATTAAAATTAGGGGGTTACCGGGACCGGAGTCGCGTAACGCTTTCGTGAATCCCCCTCGGTCGGTTCTTCCTTCCCCGCCGTTCGCATCGTTCCCGATTTGCATAACAGTAAAGATCCCGAGGATCACACTTTATACACCGAGTAGGATGCGTTATGCACGGTCGTTACTTAGGCGATTTCATTAACGCCGTTGCCCACCGAATGTGGCCAACTTCCGGTGTGAGTCTCGAGATTACGATACACACAGTCGAAATATATTGCGCTTTGTCGAAAGCTTTTGCTTCATTAAATCACGATCTCATATCCGCGCAATTACAACGTAATAATTAAAGAATATACAGACATTTATAATTAACTGTTTAATGTGATGGAAAATATACGATTTTTCTCGCTTTTGTTAGTTTGACAAAAGTCATTATGTGAATATGAAAATAAAAATCGACGAAAATCGTGAAATTTGCAATAAATATAAAGCATTTTTCTCAATGTTGACTTTCAAAATAAACTATTTTCCCTAGTTTTGTTTGCTCGCGAAAAAAAAACCTGATAATTGCACATTGTTGTTCTCGCGAATTATTAATTTTTATTATCGAGTTTGTTTTTTCAACACGACTTGCGCACCTTCCCTTTCATATCATATTATTTCGGAAACTACTCGGACGTGTATCGTCTTAATGGGAAGTAATATTGGGGAATAAGTTTAGCGCGAGAGACGTCGTCGCAGTAAATTTATAGCCGTGTCATCGGCATCTCCCCAGCTGCTTTTGATTCGCCGTAATTAGTAAAGTGCCACGTCGGAACGTATCACGGCGTACCTCAGAGATACTCGAGACGAGGTCTTTGAACGACCATCTTTCCGTTCAAGACTGCGGCAATATGACGATATGACGCCAGAGCGCGCGGTCTTTTTTTCGCACTTCCTCCGTGCGTTTTGTTTTTGTGCTGTTGAGAAAAGATTTTTCTTTCCTCGACGCGGAGAATTTTCCTTATCGAACATATCCGGGAATGATACGCACAGTTTAATTGGATCCGCAATTTCCGTTGATTTACGCGTAATTTATTCATGACATATGCTAAAGAGGATCAACGATTGATATCTCGCGATTAATATCGCGCGCAATTCCAATATCGCAAACCTGACGACTGTGCGCCGAGTTAAAGAAAATTGCGATAAACCGCACAAAATATAATGCGTGATAAATGACAGATGATGACAGGTAAGTAATTTTTTTTTTTTTCTCGCAATTGGATCGCGTCACGCAAAATTCTTCGGCTGATTACCGCGCACACAAACAACAGTTCGCTCACCGACAGACTTCTTCGCAACAATTCCGCGCCGACGAAGAAAAGAAAAAAATGTTTTTAACTATGCGCGAGGTAAACTCGGCTACCACGTTGTATCGGAGATGTTTTTCTCATAACCAAGTAAATTACATTACGCGAGATATTCTGTTGCTAATCATCGTTCCGGTCGTCGTTGTTGTTTTCTCTCTCGGAGCTCTTTTCGAATTCGCAACAACAAAAAAGACTTTCGCAAATTATTTTATTTGGGGCGCGTTTGTTAACCCGGTTACGTCAGACGTTTTCTCACATATTTATAGATGTGCTCGCGTGACAATGAGACGCTTCCCACACGCGATTGCTAAATGTCATTCAGACGTGCTTCAACAACGAGCGAAGTGAAGCATCCGTACGAATCCGGGAGCACGACCGTGTAAAACTGTTCTTGGCACGCGAACGAAATGGAGCGTGATCGGCAAGAGAGAACGAGAGAGAGAGAGAAAAGAAAATGCCTTCCGCGCGTTTACCGATGCGAAGGACGATATTCCGCGTTCTTTGTCTCGCGCGATAAAGATGATAATGTCGCCGGAACTCCGGACGTACATAGGTACCTCCCGATCTAATCTACATGTTATTGGCTGAGTAAGTTGTCGGGCAACACAGTGAAACAACTTTAATAACACGAACCTTTACAAAATGGAAACACGGTTGTTTCCTACGCTAATCACCGATATGCGTGTTTTGTTTGTACTTTTTTTTTTCCTTTTTTTTTTTTTTTTTTTTTTTTTTTTTATTTTAAATAGCAAACTAAGGGACAAAGTAATCGATTAACATGTGGTTTCTCACGTACCGTTAAACAAAAT